CTCCCGGAGCAGAGCCTGGACCGCCCAAACCTTCCCTGGAAACCCAGGGTCTGCACCAGCGCTGCCGAGACTTTGGAACAAGGCCAAGCCTCCACGCCTTGGCTTGGGGCCACTACCTGGGGATGAAGATGGGATGAATGGCCCAGCACGAAGGGCATGGGTCCGTGCTACGTCTTTCCCAGCCGGGGGCTGGGAGTGTGTCGAGGCAGGGCTTCGCAGGTGCTTGGGGGATAGTGGTGCCGCTGGAACCTGAGAGATGGAATGGCAGAGGGGACTTGTGTGCAGGTGTGCCCTGTACACTCACCGTTATACTCAGAGTCTGGCGCCGCGTGCTGAATTCATTGGCTTCTTCATAGGTTTTTCCACTGCAACGACTCAAATCTCCACTCGCTTCCCAAACTCCTACAGTGGAAGGGAGGAGGGCATCAGGCACTGCTGGGGCATGGAGAGCCCACGGCACAGTGCCCGGTGCTGGCTTCACTCACCTTGTGCCGTTCTCTCACCAGAACGAAGTGAACTTCTTGCCGAAAGCTGACACCGCTGTGAGGAAGCCAGGACAGGTGTCAATATGGAGTAGTGACCCTGGTCCCCCACCTCCCATGGCCCCAAACTGGGAGCACTGCATCCCACTGGTGGCAGCACCCAGCCATCCCCAAGGTGCCTGACTCCATCTCGGTGCAGAAGAGCATCACCGCCCTGTCCCCATCCCGGGAGCAGCCCTCACCTTCAGTCAGTTTGCCTGCTTGTTCCGCTGCCCCCCCTGGCAGGATTTTGGAGAAGACACTCTCTCCTTCCCCGCTGGGCTGCCCCGTGGCCATGCCCGCGGGACCACGTGGCCCAGCCGCCCTTGGACCGGCCTTGCTGTCTGCTGGGGGACAAACAAAGCCACTGTTAGCAGGGGACAGGCCTGGCTGGGGGAGCTCAGCTGAGTTTTGGGGTGCCAGGCAGCTGGCACAAGGCAGGACAGATGGCACAGTGCCACTGGGGCTCACTGACCTGCTGCTCCCAGGGGCTGTGCTGATGGCGCTCTCCCCGGCTGCTGTGGCACTTTTGCTGCAGGTTTGGATGTGTCTGTCGGCTCTGCTTTTGTCTGGAAAGGGGAAAACAGCTCTCAGGGCTCACCCTCCCAGTAGAGCATATGCCAGAGGTGGCCCAGGCTGGGAGGTGATAGCAAAACCCCCAAACACTGCTCCACAACCCCAAAAGAGGCAGCATGGGATCAGGACATAGTGATGTCCCCTCTTGGGTCCCCTCGAGGGGATGGCAGCTTCCACAGCACCCAGGCGTGTCTGTAATGGGTGTGTGAGTGGGATACACTTTACTCCATGGCTTCCATTCCCTTCCCCTGCCAGCCCGTGGGCACAGCCAGCTGTGCTGATTCCAGGCAGAGCTGTGGGCTCCGTACGCAGCCTGGCCAGTTACGCCCATACTTACCGCCGGTGCTGGGTGTCCGCCCGGCTGTGTGTGGAGTGTAGCCGGTGCCTTCCCTGCGGCCTGGGCTGGCCCTGGCTGCTGCTGCTGTGGCCGGGACGAGGGGGGTCCCTGTGTCCTGCCCCTGGTCTCAGGCTGTGCCGAGCTTGCTGGCTGGGCAGCCTGGCGTGCTGCCGGCTGCTGCCGCGCTGCCGGCTGCCCGGCCTGCTGCTGCCTGGCCGCTGGCTGCTGTGGGTGTGTGAGGGGCTCCGGCTTCGGCGCTGGCGTGGCCGACCCATGCGGCTGGGAAGGTTTCTGTGCCTTGGGGGTCTCAGTGCCATGGTGGTGAGCAGCGGGGCGGGATGATGGGGCATAATCAGCGGAGCTGGGGCCGTAAGGCGCACGGGACTCGGGCTGCTGCGCCTTCTTGGGGCCGGCTGAAGGCCCATGGCCACGGGGCTCATGGCGGCCGGATTCTCGTGGGTGCTGCTTTGATGAGCGGCGTGGCGGCTCGTCGCTGGCGTGCCGGGAGGAGCCAGCATGGCGATCGTACTCCCTGTGGTGCCGGTGCTCACGGTGCTGGGGGTAATCGTCGTGCTGCCACGGGTCTTCATCGGGGGGCTCGTCATAATCGTGGTAGGTGTGCTTAACTGGGGGTCTCTTCTGCGAGGAAGAGTGGCCACCGTAGTGCCTGACCCTCTCTGCCCGCGCCTCCCTGGGCTTATCAAACCAGTCTGTCTCCTCCTGACCCAAATGATAGGCTTCAGAAACCAAAAACAAACCACAGTCAATGTCTCGCTCGAGGCTGCGCGGGCGGAAGCCATGCAATGAAGTGGGAGGGGCAAGCAGCGGGCACGCGCGCAGGGGACAGCACGTGCCGTGGGGACGGGACGCGGCGCAGCAGGGCACCGTGCAGGACCGGCTAACACCGAACACCCAGGGCAGGGGGAGGAAGGCACGTGTCAAGCAAACTGAGGCGGTGAGAGTGTCTCTGCGTACGAGCGGACGGGCATGCCCCGGGGAAGTGCCATGCTCTGGGGTGGTCACCACGGGGAGCTGTTACCTTCGCTGTCTGAGACAACGCAATGGGTATCATCCATGCCGTAGCCCTCCTCGTGCTTGTACGAGTGACTCCTTGGCACGTCTTTGATGTGCTTTTGCACATCAGGCAACGAGTGGCTGGAGCAGAACTGGGAGCAGGGGTCCCCCGCTGACTGGGGGCCCGGCCCTCCCGCAGTGCGTGACCCCCCCATTGACTTCCCCATGGGGCTGACGGGGCTCTCCTCCTCCGAGGGCTGAGAGCGCATGGGCGCCCGCCCACGGCTCTGGCTCATGCTGAGGGATGAGGGCTTGGAGCTGACTTTCTGGGAGCGTTCCATGCTTTCCCGCTCATAGGATTTGCTCCGGCCGCCCATCTCCCGACCGGAGGACTTTTCCATCCCATAGCCAGAGGAGCGGGTTCTGCTGCTGGAAGAGTAGACCCGCTCCTCCTCATCCACCAGATCCCGGCTGGAGACACCGTAGTACTTCTGCTGCTCATAGACGTTCTTCTTCAGGCCGTAGGTGATCTCATCCTGCAGCTTCTTGGCCCTGGAGGCCACATTGCTGCTGCCAATCGAGCTGGTTGTTGAGTAGGAGGCCAGGTCTGACTCCACATCTTTGGCTTCTTCAATGGGGGAGAACTTGGAGATCTTCTGCTCCATGCCTTGCTTCCTGTGCTTGCTGCGCTTGGAGGAGATGACGGCGGGTGCCAGGTTCTTGGATGAATGCTTCGGTAGTGGTGTGCCAGAGCCGTGCTTGTCCATCCGTGAGGAGTGCCGGTACTCACTGTCCCCATAGTAGTAGCTTGAGCTGGTGGAGCTCCCTGACACCCTGCCATTACTTTCTGTGCCCCGGTAGTAGCTGTTCTTCCCACGATGGTCAGGGCCATGGTGATCATAGATGTCCTCCTCAGACTCCTCCTCGGCTTTGCTGTAGCAGCAGGGACGGCTGGAGCCCTCGGTGTCCCCTAGATCACTCTTCTCTCTGCTGTGGCGGCTATCGGTGCTTGTGCCCACCGGCTCTGCTTTCTGCCCATCCACTGCTGGACTGTCCTTGGTGAGCTCGCTGATGTCCTCGATCATCACATAGTTACGGGGGATGTTCTGCTCCAGACTGGTATAGAGGGACTCAGAAGAATAGCTGGCTGAGGGGCCTGGTGCCGTGCTGGTTCTCTCAGCCGGCCGGGTCTCAGGTGCCTTGTACTGCTCGTAGCCACCGCTTGCCGGTGCAGTGCTGAAGGTGACGTCAGGCACGGCAGAGGAGCTGGTGGCCGCACCAATGACCTCGTAGTTGGTGGGGATCTTCTGTTCTAGGTCAGCCAGAGAGGTCTGCCGTGGTTTCTGGTGCCCGCCAGCTATGTCTGCTGGGCTCTGGTAGAGGGCAGGTTGTGCTGCCGGCACGGTGGCTGCCCCAGCAAAGGCGCTCGGGGCTTGGTAGGGATTTTGGGGCTGGAAGCCTGGCTGGGCTGGGGTGCCCAGCTCTGGGTATGCGGTGCCGGGGGCCGAGAAGCCACCGGGCGACGTGAAGGTGGGCAGTGGAGCTGCCGGCAAGCCATCCTGTGAGGTGCTGGCTGTGGGGTACTGGGGGTGCTGCAGGCGTGGTGGCGGGAAGGCGGCGGGGCCCTGCGGGGCAGGGTACGGGTAGGCGCCGTAGGAGGC